CTGCTGAACTGGACTGTATAAATAGGTGATACCATAGGTAAATAATGGTTTCTGTGTCTGTCACTCACTGCTTGCGTGTGGCAGGAAGAAAGCCCACCATCTCCATGGCCAGCTGAAGCCTCTCAAAGTCATGCTTCAGGTCCTCTCCTTCTACATTGAAGCAGTCCTGCAGAAAAAAAAAAGAAAAAAGTCTTTGGATGTTATCAGGCCTGCAGAGGCTGTTACAACACAGTGACCGGGGAAGCCAAAAGGGCTAATGACAAGCTACTCTGAGGTTTAGAAGGACTGCTGACATATGCGGTGCCTTAATGTTTTCAAGGTTTACAGACTGTCTAGCAAATACACTTTAAAAAGGGTTTTTTTATTTACATTGTACTTACTTACAAAAAACAGAAAAATTGCCTGAGGCAGACAAATTACTGAAATAAGCTATCATTAAGAAGCTTGGGGCCAAAGAAATCTGCAAAACCTGAGCCCAATGTGCAGAGTGTCTAGTAAACAGTGGCGTGTGCAGGTTCTGCTCATGTAGTGGAAAATCTGCTTTGGCACTCCACTTTAAACCAATCCACAAAACATTTGGCAAGCAGTGAAGCCGACAGGATGAGCAGTTTATGGATGAGCCTGTTCTTGAGAATGGATGATCACCTAAACTAGCAGAGTAAATAAAGTGACTGCAATGTTTTGACTGTCATAACAAGACTAAAGTCATGACGTGATTGAAAAATATATTAAATACAAGAAATATTCTAATTAGCAGCTATATGAATACTAGCAGGAGTATACTTTTAGATCATTCTGGATCTAGATTGGTTGTTTACAAGAGCGTTCCTAGAAACATATGCTTTGATGTTTCTACATAAGTACACAGTACTTCACTGAACTACATACACCCACCATAAAGTGAGCTCTGCTCTTTCCTTTATAGGCCCATTCCACTATGGCTGCAATAATTATCGCAAACTGTGCCTCAGAAACACAAACACTCCGAACGCTGAGACTCATGCTTGCACCAGTGTGCCTCCTCCTCGCTTCCTTCTCTCTTCCTTCACAGCAGAAATTTACACTGACCCATTAGAAGCTCTGGTGTTACATTTCCACGTCAACAAAACCTGCATTATGTGAACGCTGCTTGTTCAAACTTGAAGTTCTTTTCAATTAAAGCAGTCAGTGTAGTGAAAAGGTGTCTAAAGATTCCAGATGTCATAAAAGATGTCAATCAAAATACGGATCACCGCTTGTCTACTCACAGTGCAGTCTGGGTATATTTATAGCATTTCTCCTCAGTAGTGTCAAGAACCACAAACCTATATTATCAGCATTATACAACAACTTGCATTGAATTTTGTAATATTTTGCAATATTACTGGATTAATGAACTGCAGCTAAAAACTTAAACTTTCCATTGACTTCTATCAATGTCAATGGAAAGTATAAAAGCATTTCTAATCACTATAAATGCTTTAATACACTCACAAAAACACGCAGTACCCCAAAAAAGACACAAGGAATCCCAACAGTAATGAGAGAAGACCTTTTGATCGTTGACATTCTTCAATCCAGTGTTTCCCATGTTTCAGAGGTGAGGTCACACATCAAAGTTATGAGTGTGTTAAAAGTTTTTGATGCTACAAATTGTCTGAACACAAGATTACTTTCTGTAGTGTATGGAGGACAGGAAATTCAAATGAGTGCAGCAGGAAATACTGTACCGGTCAACGATCAAAAAGAAAAAAAAAAGAAAAAAAATAGAGCAACACAGGCAGCTACAGTGGCCAGGATATGAGTAGACATACCACCAGAACTCAAAAGCAGTACAACAGGGGAAAGCAAAAACAAATAAATGCTCCCCAAACCAGGAAATATCCAAAAAGCAACAAAATAAGCAAGGGAATCATAGGAACGGGTGGGTGGAGGGGTGGAGGAGGTGTGCAACTGTGCAGATGAAGTGCAGCTTCAGCTGCGAGTGCTCAGGTGACACAAAATCTACCGGCTGAGGTTTCTGCAACACGTGCAGACACACGGACAGTTAACACACAGCTGATACTGACCGGCTCACTCTCACAGTAACTCTCCCAATGACGTTGGTGGCTTGTCTTTGACATCTGGAAATGACGAGTTTACAGGAGGCAAGATCAAGGTTAGAGAGCAGCATTCCAATGACAACACACTATACTGGTCAAACATGAGCGCAGATTTAAGAGCGACCAATGACAATGAAGTCGTGCTGTTAAGATACAGGCTGTTCGTTACAGTCTCAAACATCGACGATTCAAAGTCAAACACTTTTAAGCATATAAGCAGTGATGACAGAGACAAAGAAAACACACTCAGACACTACCACATAAACACTTTATGGTTGAACACATTAAGACATCAAAGCAGGAGGAAATAAGAGGTCCAGACATGCAGCACACAAAAATATTAAGACACCAGAATGTTGGCTTTCCTTCAACTTTAAATACCTTTTTATGACTCATTTTTTACCTCCTAAGATAAGAACTGATTTCTACTAATGTAGAACTGAATTCTTGCAAGCCATCCAAACCCTAGATTTTATTGTTGTCAAATGTTAAAACATAATTCTTCATTACCCGTGTCCTAAATGAGACATTTGGTATTAATGGGACCAGGTGCTACAGTTTTGATATTGAAATATTTTCTTTTCTTCCTTCTTGAGGAAGGAACTGGACTACTGAGCCATGCTGCAGACTGTGGTTTTGTATTGTTGTGCTGAAATAAGGAAGGGCTTCACTGAAAAAGAACAGTCTGGATGGCAGCATATGTTGCTCAAAAACCTTTATAAATCATTCAGCATTTATAGCACTTTGCTGATGTTCAAGCTACCCCCACGCCATTATGGATGCTGGCTTTTAAACTGTGTGTTGATAACAGCCTGGATGGTTCCCTTCGTTTCAGCTTAAATTTTGATTTGTCAGAAAAACCTTTTCTTTCAGACCATCTTAAATAAGCTTAGAAATACTGCTGCCTTCTCTCCATGTAGTTTCTTTGCATGCTGGAGTTTTCTCAGTGTTACCCTTGGTACAGAGACTACGAAATTCTCTGAATGTTTTAATGATATTATGCACGGCAGATTATAAAATCGTCAAATTCTTTGCGATTTTTCAGTCAGTAAAGTTAAACTTCAACTTGCTCATGTCAATTACTTGTGTTTTGTTTTTTGGGGGGGGTTTTGGTTTTTTTTTTTTAAACAGGGTTGTTGATGAGGTATGAAAGTCAACTTGCAGACACACTGTTGCAGATAACAAACCCCAGGCAGCAATTAACAACCACAGATTTATGTAGATTAAAGTAATTACTGCATTTCCAGATTGTGAGCAGGCACTGCTGCAAAAACGCAGGATTCGCAGTAGAGTACCAGATTCACATTATTTCATGCAACAACTGCTATCTGCTCATCTGTGCATTCTGTAATTTTTCAGCATATAATCAACGAGCCTCAGTGAGGGTGTCCTTAAGTGCACCTCCTTGGGGAACTTTGTTTCTTTTAGCTGCGGTACAACGTGATGCTGCACGATGTTACTCTGGAAGAAAATAATTTTAAGGGAATATATATTGTGTACACTGCTTTGTGACAGTGTGTGAAAGTTACTTCATAAATAAATTTCAGTTTCTTCTTATACGCACACAAACACATGCACACAGTAAAAACTTGATTCCTTGTGTGAACACTGAAATTCATGCAAGAGCTCTAGCTTGGGAGTTATAATTTACATTTATATTATAATATATTCACATGTGGTTCCCAAAATAGAAGAGAAGGGGAAAATACAAGGGCATGAACAGAATGTGTGTGTGTGTGTGTGTGTGTACGAGCGCACGCATGTTTGCATGTGCACATCAGTGGCTGGGAGGAATGGGAGGAATTCCCTGCTCTCTTCTGCGTAGGCATGAGGACTTTGGAGGAGGGGAGGTCGCTGGTCGTCTAAATGTCAAGCTCGGAAACGGAGACACTTTAAATTTTACAAAACATCCGCATTTCATATGCAGACTGACTATTTGTGTGTTTGTTGTGGCTTCATTTCATAGTTATGTGAAACCCGTTTTCCTTTAGGACAACAGAGCAACAGAGATGGGGGACGAATACCATTTGGTGTGTTTTTGTCAGCAGAAGTGAAGCAGTGAGGTTGCCTCACTGCATGAACAAAAAAAAAAAATGTAAATAAAGACGGAAGTGAAGACAAACCTACTATACAGTGCGTGCAGCTATGCCTACAAGAAGTCAAAATGAAAAGCAAACAAATTAAGACGCTGTGTCTGTCCCTGAAACAGCTGAACATTTTAGATAGGGTGTATGTGAAGGACAGCAGTGCAGCACGTGTCAAAAAACTATTTTCCCCCAGTGTTAATATTTCACACATGCTGACGACATTTATAACGTTACAGATAAATGAAAACTATAACAAACATCACATCACAAGGCACGGCTAGTGTAAGATCAAGTCTGCAGTGCCTGATGCTAAAGGTCCCACCTGACTGAGGTAATGGTATTCTTCAGGCTTCTTGAGGTGAAAGGCTTTCCTCTCTTCTTCACTTGCTCCTGCCAGCAGGTAGTAAAACACATGGTAGTTTCTAAAAAAACAAAGAAACAAAAAATTATTACATTGTAACTCAATTAGTTCAAACTTTACAGTGTTTTTTTAAATTCTAAAAACACCACATCTGTTTCTGGAAATGGTTAAGAAGTTTATCTCCATCTACAACGTTCCTAATCTTATGTTCTTTCCACTGAGATGGACATTATTCCCCCATGTACCAAAACAGCTTAATCACCTATGCCTTCCCCCCCCCCCCCAAAAAAAACCCCAAAACCCTATGCTTTTAGCAGCCGATCAGTTACTGTATTAATCATCGCCATGAACATGCTCATTTTTAGCAAACTAACTGAGTGGGATGCAGGACTTTGCTGTGCTCACTGCACTCAAAGTAAACTCCTGACATCCAGCAATACAGTATTTGGTGCTTTGCATGTTATTTTGGAAACAGGCTTGTTATGTTCAGCAGGCTAGAATGTCAGCATGGTAATTTTAGCATTGTTAGTATTTAAAACTGGAACAACTATAGAGAGGGGTTTCAAATTTCATCTTACAGGTTTCGTTTCAATTCATGTGGTGTGAAAACTGACAAGTTGACTAATAATAATAA